GCAATAAGGATAACACAAGATTTAGCAGCTTCCACATTACGGGATAGGAGATCTTGGAATATGATATTCTGGAGGTCAAAGAGTTATGATTACAACTGAGAATCACCTACCCAGTAAAACTGAGTGTGATCAATGGGGGAGGAAAATTGATATTCAATGATGTAGAAGAATTTAATGCATTCTTGAGAAACCAGAGCTAAATAGAAAAATTGACTTTCAAATACAAGATTCAAGAGAAGCATAAAAAGGTAAACAGGAAAGAGAAATCATAAAGGACTTATTAAAGTTGAACTGTTTATACTCCTACATGGAAAGATGATATTTGTAACTCATGAGACCTCCTTCATTATTGATATTTGTAAATCATGAGACCTCTTTCATTATTAGGGTAGTTGGAGGGAATATATATATATAGACAGAGGGCATAGGGTGGTTGAACATGAAGAGATGATACCTAAAAAACAAAAAATAAAGGGGTGAGAGAGGAATGTACGAGGAGAAGGAGAAAGGGAGAAGAAGAATGAGGTAAATCATCTCACATAAAAGAGGCAAGAAAAAGCTTTTACAGTGGAGGCAAAGTGGGGGAAGGTGAGAGGGAATGAGTAAACTTTCTTCTCATCAGATTTGGCTTAAGGACAGAATAACATATACACTCAATTGGGTATGGAAATCTATCTTACCCTACAGGAAAGTAGGTAGGGAAGGGGAGAAGAGACAGAGAGGGTGATAGAAGAGAGGGAAGATTGGGGGAGGGAGTAATCAGAAGCAAAGACTTTTGAGGAGGGACAGGGTCAAAGGAGAAAATAGAATAAATGGGGGGAAGGACAGAATTGAATAAATGGAGAGGGCGGGATAGGATGGAGGGAAATATAGTTAGTCTTTCACAACATGACTATTATGGAAGTATTTTGAATGACTACCCATGTATAACCTATATCGAATTGCTTGCCTTCTCAATGAGAGTGGGTGGGGAGAGAAGAGGGGAGAGAAATTAGAAGTTTTAAAAATGAATGTTAAAAGTTGTTTTTTACATGCAATTGGGAAATTAAGATACACAGGCAATGGGGTATAGAAATCTATCCTACCCTACAGGAAAACAGAAGGGGAAGGAGATAAGAGAAGGGAGGGGATGACAGAAGGGAGGGCATATTGGGGGAAGGGGTAATCAGAATGCACGCTACCATAGGGTGGGAGGATGGGAGAGAGGGGGAGAAAATTTAGAACTCAAAATCTTGTGGAAGTGAATGTTGAAAATTAAAAATAAATAAATAAATTGGAGGGGAAAAAGAAAAAAAATGATGAGCAGGTGAATTTCAGAAAAACCTAGAAAGGCTTACATGAACTGATGCTTAGTGAAGTGAGCAGTACCAGGAGAACACTGTGCTCAGTAACAGTCATATCGTGCAATGATCAGCTATGATATACTTAGCTCTTCCCAGCAATACAATTGTATAAGACATTTCCAAAAAGACTCATGATGAAAAATGCTATTCACATCCAGAGAAAGAACTGATGGAGTCTGAGTGCAGATCAAAGCATACTATTTTCACTTTTTTGTTGTTGTTTTTTCATTTTCCTTTTGTTCTGTTTCTTCATTCACAGCATGATTAATGTAGAAATATGTTTTATATGATTGCACATGTATAACCTATATCAGATTGTTTTCCATCTTGGGGGGGAGGAGAGGAAAGGAGAAAAATTTGAAACTCAAAATCTTTCAAAAAAGGAATGTTGAAAATTGTCTTTATATATAATTTGAAGAAATAAAATAGTATTAAAGCAAAAGAAAAGAAAAGGAGTGAAGAAGGAAAACAAAGTAACTTGGGATCAATAACAAATACAGTATGAATAAAGAGAAGCATAGAAAGATTTACATGATTTGATGCAGTCAAGAAAACAATAAAAAGAATGACTACAACAATGTAAACTGAAAGAACACAAAACAATCAAATGTGAATGTTACAAAATTACAAAAAAACCCTCATAGCTCCAAAAAGAGTTGGAAGACACCCCCACCCCATCTTTGTAGAGGTGGGAGATCAATGGGTATGGTACTTAACTCATATTTTTCAATTTTTTTGATATACCACTCAGTTTTACTGACATTTCTCTCTTCTTTTTTGTTTAAAACATATATATATATATGTATATATGTAATATGAGATGGTTCTGGGAGAGGGATTTTGGGTGATGTAAAAAACTCCCAAAAGATATTAAAGTGTATTTTTTCAAGTACATAAAGCAGGGAGAAAATGGTACCTGCTGAGCAAAGACTATAGGATGAGAATGCTTCAAAGAACCATCTTATTTGAATTTCATATTGGATAGAGTCATGGGCCTGCAGTCAGGAAGATCTGAGTTCAAATTCTGCCTCAGACAGACACTTACTTGCTGTGTGAACCTGGGCAAGTCACTTAACCTCTGTTTAACTTACTTTCCTCAACTGTAAAATAGAGAGAATAATAGCACCTATCTCCCAGCATTTTTGTGAGGATCAAATAAAATAATGTCTGTAAAAAGTCCTTAGCATGCTGCCTGGCACACAGTGGGTGCTACATAAATGAGTATTCCCTTCCCTTACTTTCCCCTTTCTTCAAAGAGTCAGAAGAAAGAGAAGGCAGAAAGTAACTAGGGGACATAAAAGGAAAAAGATAAAGTGAGGACAAGAAAATTAATAAAGAATAATAAGAAGAATATCATTAAAGAATTATTAAAGCATAATAAGAAAAAATCTACAAACCATGGGGATACAGGAAGGAGGCCAATAGAAGGGCAACAGAGAACTTGAGAGGAGAAATAAAGGTGTTGAAGGCGGAAAAGAAAGGAGAAATTTCAAGTAAGTCACAAAGGGCTAATTAAAACCAAGCAAATGTAGTGAAAATCATAAAAAACTAGAAATGCATATTAAGTGGAAGGTAGGATATGCAGCCTATTGGCCTCTGAGGCACAAGCAGGAAAATGGAAGAAAAAATAGAACTAAAAATGTTTTATAGGGAATTGTGTTGAGGATTTTTGGGGGTGGGGCTTGCTGTAATGGGGAAAAAACTGTAAATTTTTTTTTAAATATACTTTAAAAAGTTTTTAAAACCTATCAAAGGTCACATGAAAAGGTATAAAATAATACTATGAAAAATATCAAGAGCCAGAGAACACAGGGGAATTACATACTATTTGTATGATATTTTATAACTATATTTAGTATACAGGAATGTATACTCTCCCTCATTAGATTGTCAGTTCCTTGAAGATTATATATACATATAGATTTATAAACAATATACATATATTTACACAGATACGTGTATATGCATACACATACACATTCACTAATGCCATCAAATGTCTCCCAAAAATAAAAGGTGACATTTTAAATACCAATATTACTCTAGTACTTTCAAATGTTTCAAATAATGGAACATCACAATCTCTGAAAGGGTATTAAGAGTAACATGGTGGATGTGAGTAGGTTGCAATAACATAAGGAACATAGTTCAAAGACTAGGGAGAAAGGGATATCTTGGAGAAATGAATGTTAGAAAAAGATGGGCTGATGACTTTATAAGGATGAACATAACTGGACAGCCCTAGTACTTTCTTGTATTCTGTCAATATCAGAAGAAAGGGAAGAGGTCGATAGCACCCCTGGTTGTGGAAGATACAGCGAGTCAAAAGTTGCAGAGGATGGGCCAGTAGGTATGTGATCTGCACCATTAAAAGGATCATTCAAATCAATGAGATCATAAATCCACTTTAGTATTTCCCCCCAAAGACTTTCAGATATTTCATCTCATTTATATTTCCCAAATAGCACAGAATACTTATTAGTAGACAAGTATAAACTTGTGGAATTTAATTTATCCATTAATCATGACCCTTTACCACAACAAATGCTAACACATAATCCTTTCACCGGTGTTAGTTTTAATCGAGCTAGACCTTATCAATATAGATTTGGTATTTTAAAAATTCGTATAACAGTATCCAGAAAAAAATGTTTTCTTCAAGGTCTGCAGTATAAACCACTTACTAGTACATTCAAAAGCTAATTTAAAGAGGATTGGATTAGATATCCTTCCTTCTAGCTTTAAATCTACTATGATCACATAGCCTATTTAAAGTTACACTGCTGTGAACTTCTGAAGCGTCAAAATGAAACTTGAAACTATAAAACAAAAATGAAATCATCGTACTAGCTTTGTGACCATTTCAAGTTTGAACTGCAGCTCCACGCTGTGATTTCGTTTCCTTTCAGTTATACAAAAGAAGTGTAACAAATGACATCGTAGTAAAGCTCTCAAACAGTCTAATACTCTACTTTAACGTTGCTAATTTATGGAGAGAGGGGGAAAAATTACCAAGTGCCTATCTGTACAACTAACACTCAATATATGTGGAAGTTAAACACTGGGAATGTCTAACTCTCAAGGCAGGGTGAAGGAATAATAAAGTTGTTCCCTAACGGGTACCTAACTCTTCGTAGTCCCGGGGGCAATAAATCACTGCTCGAAATAACACAGAGAAGAATTGTAGTGGGGAGCAAGAAACAAGGGAAATGAGAGGGGGAAGGGAAGCTCCACCTACACCTTATCCGAGGGGTAAGGCATTCCAGGAGACGGCAAGTAAAGAAGTGGCATAATACAGGCGGAAAGAGGAAAAGAAACAGAGAAGGACGGGAGGGTGGCTAGGGAAAGGAGGGGAACAGAAGGAGGGAGGGGAGGAATGAAAGGCAGGAGAAACGGAATGGAAGGAAAGGGAAACGGGGATAAGAAAGAGGGGAGGAGGGACAGGGGGAAGAGGGAAAGCAAATACAAGGAGGAGGGGAATGCAGGGCAGACTGGGCGGAGGGGAGAGGAGGAAAGAAGGGGAGGAGGGAAGGGAGGGAAATCTGGGGGCATCCTCAGCCACGCCCTACGGCTCGGCCCGGGAAGGCCAAATGGGAGGGAGCCAGAGCTCCGTGGCCGCCCCGGCCACTCTGGCCGCCCCGGCAGCCGCTGCCTTACCATCCTTAGCAGAAAGCCCCAGAGCAGGGCGGCTGCGGCCGGGAGCAGCCGCCTCTTCGGCCTCATCCTCCTCGGCCCCTGGAGCGTCGGTTCCAGAGACCGTGGCTGCCGCTCGGACCCGGCTCGGAGGAGGCCGGCTCCGGCCCGGTCCACTCCACTTCCTTCCGGCTCGGACCCTAGGCGGGTGGCTGAAGCCTGCGGGGCGCCTGCGGTGGAGCGGACCGCGACTTCCGCCCCGACGTGTCCAGCGGGGGCGGGGCGGGGGTGGGTGGGGAGGGATGGGGAGGACTGGAGGAAAGTCCCCACGCTTGGCTACGCCCTGTGGGCGGGTTCCGTTGGGGAGGGGCGTGACTGCAGGGGATGGGCGGAGCTGTCACTTCTGACCTCTCGCTCCCCAGCCTTTCCTTTTGCGTTCCCCTTTTGCACAGTTTTGTACCCTCATAACCAACTCTCTCCTCTACGGTCTGCCCCACATTCCTTTCAAGGCCTGTCCTAGTCCCCACACTCCTAATTCCTCTCTGGCCCGAATTAAGATTGTACCTTCTAGAACTTGAAGGCATGACCTCTACAGGAATTCACAGCAGCAATAGAGCCTCCAATGCCTCTATTTGTACTCACTCATCTTTCACCAATCATGGAAAATGTTACTGTGGTAGCTCGGGGGAAAGCTTTGGACTTGGCATGAGAGGACTTGGGTTTGAATGCAGACCGAGTGTGTGATTCTGGGCAAGTCACTTCCTGGCTCTGGGCTTCACTTTCCTCAGCTGTCAAATGAGATTAATAATACCCGTACTATCCAATAGCAATAAGTAGTATTCATATAGCATTTTAAAGCTTGTAAAGACCTTTACACATGTGATTACATGAACTAGTCAGAGTCATTGCCGTGGAAGGTACCTCCCAGCCACATCAGCCGGCAACCTAGGCATTTTTTTCTTTTCTCTCTCACTCCCTATACTCAATCAACATCCAAGTCCTCTGACCTATATCTAATTAGTGGTCAAGTCATTTCCACCCTCATAACATCTCTCCTATATGCCCCTTTTTCACTTCTGATACTGCAACCACCTTGATGCAAGCCCCTATCCTAAAGTGTAGGTCCCATATCACTCCCCATTCAACAAACTTCAGTGGCTTTCAGTTACCTCCAGGATTAACTTATAAAAACCTTCTGACTCTGAAAGCCCTTTATAATCTGGCTCCTTCCTACCTTTCCAGTCTTCTCACACCTTACCCTCTTCTACATACTAAGATCCAGGGAAGATGGCCTCTTCTCTGTTTCTTAAACAAGATACTCCATCTCTCTACTCTGGGCATTTTCCCTGGCTGACACTATGCCTGGAATTCTCTTCTTCCTCATCTCCACCTCCTGACTTTCTTCAAGTCCTAGCTAAAATTACACTTTCTACAGGAAACCTTTCCCTATGCTCTTTAATGCCAGTGCCTTACCTCTGAGAATACCTCCATTAATTTATATGCATTATATAATATTTATGTACACATACATATGTATGTATAAATGTATCATATACATCATGCTTGTGCATAGTTATTTGCTTGTGATCTCCTCCATTACACTGTGATCTTGAAAACAAGGACTTGTTCTTTTCCCTTTTTCTTCAGATCCTCAGTGCTTAGTTCATACTATATGCCTGGCATATAGTAGGCATTTAATAAATGCCATTTGACTGACATAACTAATGACTAAGGTGGGATCTGAATTTAACAGTTCCCATCTCTAAGTCCAGAACTCTATTCACTGAACCACATGGTTCCCTGGTTTATTGTTAAGTATCAAAAGAGAAGGAATCTAAAGAAGCTTTAAAGTGCTATATACCAATTATTATTGTTACCAGATTTGTGATATTGAGCAAGTCATATAATATTTTTGAGCCACAGTTTCCTTATTTGAAAAAAAAATGAGGACAATATATGAGACTCATCATACCTTCCAAACTGGTTGGAAGTGTAGTAAGGAGGTGTTAATGGGAGATCATCTGGTTGCTCAGGCTGGAACTCAAAAGATATCAATACTATGTATGTCTGTGTGGGAGGGGCTAACATTCATTTATCAATCCATACAACTGGTAGGATGCATAATGGTTAGCACTAAGTCTGAAGTCAGGGAAGGCTTGAATTAAAATTTGATCTTAGACAACCATGTGACTCTGGGAAAATAATTTAACCTCTATTTGCCTCAGTTTTTTCAACTGAAAAATGAGTATAATTATAGAACCTACATCACAGGGTGATTGTGAAGATCAAATGAGATAATATTTGTAACATACTTAGCACAATGCCTGGCATATAGTAGGCACTATATCAATGCTGCTGCTGTTGTTATTGTTGTTACTAATGGACAATTGTGCTGGGAGAGATTCAGAGTTTAGATAATTGGCATTAGCCACCAGAAACTTACGTTCTAGTAGTCTGCAAGTATGAGAAATCTATAAAGTAGAAAGTATGAGAATAGGTGCCCCTGGTCTGGTACTTAAGCCAGGTTTGTGAATTTTGTTGATTCTCTTAATCAATTCATTTCAACAGGCATTTGTTACATCTCATCAATGTACAGTTTGAGGCACTGGGGATACAAAGAAAAAAGAAAAAGTTTCTGCTCTCAAGGAATTTGCATCCTATTCTAATCAAACCCCTGTTGTTGTTTTCACTTGTGTCTGACTCTTATTTTTATTTTTTTCAGAGCCACAGACAGTTAATCTTTCCTAAATGAGATTAGGAAGAGAAATGAAGAAACCACTGGTAGTAAGTAGTAGGAGGCAAAAGTGTCTTCTTGAGTCTGTCATTTGATGAAATAGATTTTCAGTTACTATGCATTTCCCTTGCTTTTCCATGTAGTACACATGGCAGAGACTTGGGAACCCACATGCCTGAAGTCAGGTTACTCTTATGTTCCACAACTACATTCTTCACAGGGCTGTTACTGCCACTGAAGTTATCAGTGCCCCAGATGAAGATAGTGCTGGACTGCTCCCACAAATCTTTATCTCAGTCTTCATCACAAGGAGGGCATTGCTCTGTGTTCACAATCAGAATCTCCAATCTGTAGTTCCTGAATTGGCTGACAACATGCAGCTTTTGTCACTAAAGTTTGAGATAAAGCTTGAGATGTAGTGGCTGATTTCAGCCCAGGGGGATCTTGGTGGCAAGTGTCGAAAAGACAGGTACACAATTTGTTTGCAACAACAGGGTGCTTCTTTCTGCATTTGATCAGATGATAAGGGAACCTGCAGGCCCTGATCTGATGGTTTTTATTCTATGGTCCTTATATAAGCTTCTCTGGATCTAAAAAAGCAACGCAATTGCTATCCATATCTGCAGTGAAAAGGAAGCAAACCCAAGTGCTCTCTCAAAGCTGTGATTCACGGAAACAGAAGTGGTGTCCACCAAAAGATTTCAACTCAAAGAAACAGTCAAACTCAGAGCCCAGCTGCATGCTTTTGTTGTTGTTGTTTCATTTTAGAATCATTGACATTGCTATGTAATTCCCTAAAAGTAATCCAGCCTATTTGCCTGTTTTCTTACTCCTATTCAATTCAGTGCCCAGTTAGTCATCTTTCTGTCAAGATGTATGAATCAATAAACTATTTCAATGGACTGATTGCCCACCCAACTGCATCATCCTCTTGGATGAAGAATATTGTACTGTTAAACCATGCTAACAGTTTGGAGTGATTGTGAATTTTGCTATGGTAGCCCTGAAGTGGGTATTTGTTGTTATTATTGAGTCATTTCAGTTATGTCTGATTCTCCATGACCCCATTTGGGGGTTTTCTTTTTTTCTTTTTTCTTTTTAACAGTCAAGTTGAGAAGCATTTATGAGGCACTTCCTATATGCCAGGCACAGTGCTAAGCTCTGAGGGTACAAAGAAAGGCAAAAATAAGTCCCTGCCCTAAAGGAGATGACAATCTAATGGAAGAGAGCTCACAATTACCGTACAGAACAGAGATTTACAATTTTATGTGCTTTCCTCTTTTTCTGTTCTTCTTTGTATAGAGAAATGTTCATGTTTGCTAATTTTATTAAGTTCATAATAATAAAAAATTTAAAAACAAATGAACAGGCATACAGAAACTGATATGTAACAGACATAAAAATCATCTCACACAGTAAATCTCAATCACATGGAGAAAGATCCTGATACTGTGGTATTTAGAGACAAAGACTGATGACAGAATATTCTGGAAATAATGGGTTTTATTTTGTCAAGATATTAGAAGATCCCCTGTTTTCCAGAGCTAAGGCCCAGCAAGCAAGCTGTGTCCTGAGCTTGGCACAACAACAATCCTTTACACTCAACCTCTGGATGATCTCCCTCTGGCAAAATCACATAATTATTATATTGCTTGGACCAACACCAGGTGTTCTCTGAGCCTGGACAAGCACCGGACAAGTACCCCTGTTCTGGTCATGAAGCCCTACTATGAATCAAACTTGTCTCATTACTGCTGTTGTCCCTCATTGTTAGGGCTACAGCTCATTTTGTAGCCATTGGTATAAGTATTGAGACCTCCCCCCGATGCCTGGGGTCCTCCTCAGTAGGGGCAGGGCCCCAGCACATGTCTAGATCCCCTCCTTGCTTGCAAGCCATTTCCCTCACTTAGAAATTAATCTTCTGTTTGATTCCTGACTCTCCTGTCACTGGCCTGCTCTGTTTAGCTCCGGTCACCCATAAGTTAGAGGTCGATTCCATCCAGTTCTTAGTTTTAAGATGAGTTATAATAGAAATAATTATGATCAAAACCATTAAGTTTCAACATGTGACTGCTCATTAATTTACCAGGAAAATTTTTCAAGAAAGTGATTGGGTTCAATTGCTAAATACTTCACACTTTACGTTGTGTAATAAAGTCGTCTGCTACAGGGAGGTGTTGTGAGCCTATATACAGTTAGCATATTTATAAATGGAATCATCTGCAAAAATGGGTAAGGGGATGCTGAGCTATAAAGGTAGACCTCAGAACTACAGAAACATATCAGTTTTCTTATTATTTAATAAAACAGAGAACCAAAAATATGAGAGGACAGTTATGGCACTAGTAGGACTGCATGTAGTCTGAAATAATTCTTGGTGGCACTTCCTACCTTGGCACCTCTTTCTTGTCCCTTTTCTCTTAGTCTCACTTGTTTCTAGTTCCTTTCTTCTGAGGTGACTATCCCTTTAGACTTGCCAGGGCCAACTGCCAACCTATTCAGCCTTTCTTCTTCTCACTCAGAGACTAAGAGGT